TTTTTTTTTTTTTTTGGTAGTTGTTTCGGTAATTACTAGCTTTTATTTACTACTGTCGCCAGTATAGTAGTCATTGCAGTTAAAAATGTATAAAATTTTACATTTCTGATTTGCATTTTTGAAATTTATTGAAAGGTATCTATCTTTTTCTAGGTTTCGGGAAATTTAAGATCTGCCGTTAATTTAACCACCAAAATATTAACCGATTTAGGCCAGGGATTTGGGATGGCAGGACAACCGTCAAGAAACACGTTTTTAACTTTTGAGGTAGTTTTTCACTTTGACATTATCAGGCGTGCATTACTGTAGCATATGACTGTACACTTTCATGCATTTAACAAATTAAAATTTATTCCATGGAATCTTTTTGGTTTGTAGTTTCCTGCCCGAATGATCTAGTGTCATATTTGTTATAGCTATATGACACTAAATTTAGATCTGGGCATCTCGTTTCCAGTTACTTATGGCATTGAAATGCTACGCTTTACTAAATGACGAATTGTCTCCCTTTGAAGAATTAGATGCACCCGACTTGTACACGCAGTACTATCCTCACGTATACAGTAATCACAGAGGCAATTAACTTTGACTAGCTTCTTGATTTCTTGTCCTGGTTCTGTTCGTTAAAATATTGATAGGTTTTTTTAAGGAACATTGGTACCGTTTAGTCTTCGTTTGGTACATGCAGAGTCTCTTCGCTTCACACCTTTTCCTTGGGCAACAATACGGCGTATCAACCTGTTGGAAGAAAATGTTACAGAAGTTGGCATTACTTACTTTTAGAGTGGCTATTAGAAAGCTGTGTTTTTTGTCTGAATGGATTGATCAGATTTAGGGGAAAGGTAGCTTTTCTAGATTATAGAGGCAGAGACGGAAAAGAGGTCCTCTCCAGAAGTACTGGATGCCTGGCGAAAACGCCTTCTTGTTGTGCAGAAGTTAAAAGCAAGGACTCTCTATTGCTTAAAGGTAATCTGAAATTTTGGTTTGTGTAACCTCCATTTATATAAATTTATTGGAAAAATAAAATCAAAGTTTTTACTTACTGATAAGATGAAAGGAATTATTTTGAAATTTTTTTTGTTAAAAGGATTGGTATCTCTTCTATAATTTCTTGGAAGTGTATTTTTAAAGGAGTATAACTTGTCGATTTTAATGTATGAAAGAATATTGGCTAGGGAGGAGAATGAAGAAAAGAAGCTGGCTTTGAAGTTGTTATTGGTGCGTATTGCTGCAGTTGTTGGGGACGAAAAAAGTCTTTTGCGGTTTCTGAATGGATTACCAGTGTCTGCAAATAAAGAAAAGGATGTTCTTCTACATAGGTAGGGACTTCAAGAAATGATAGGAAGATATTTTACACGGTGAGAACAAGAATAGTTGGGTAACTTTTGCGGGAATGATTTTGCGTTTGTTGCTGGCATTATATTACAAAATAAATTTTGAAAATAGAGTATTTCTGAGCAAGTATCCTTAAAATATATATTATTTTTCTTGGAAGCGTTTTTTTTCAGGTGCTTGAAGTTAGTTTTTTATGGGCAGTATACTAAAGCACTAGACCTGTTGAAGCCATTTATGTCGCAGTTGGGGGATCCGAGGGTTAAGTGGAATTCAACTCACTATACTTTGATATACCACATCTCTAAAAAAATGTGTATTTATTCAAGAAAAGTTTCTTGAATAAGTAATGATAACTTCAAAAGTGTTTTAGTTCACCCTTTTTATTTCTGGTATTTAGGTGTGGAACAATGCTGCTGTTTGTATGCTCTACTCTGGACATATAAATGACGCTTTGAAGCTTTTTGAAAAGTATTTTGAAACACCTAATGAACCTTTGGTTTTAAATCTAGTGTCTATCAACGAACTTATTTCTCGGAATATTAAACAAAAGAAGGTTGAATTTTTTTTTATCTTCTGCTTCCCAGGTTGTATTTGAAACTTTTTCTTAAATATTTTCTATTTTGATAACTGAAGTATCAGGATCCTTTTATAAGATACAGTTCGATTTTAAAATTTTTTGGGATATTTTGTAGAACTCATTTTGTGATTGATAAGTCATCTTTTACAGGTCACGATTTTTGAAAACAATTTGGAGAAATTGCCAGATATGTTTGATCCAGCAGTTTTAAAACTTTCACAGCTGTAAACAGTCGTTTTTAAAACAAACTTTTGGGTACTATACCAGCGGCTCATCCGAAGTTGTTTTTGTTATCTTCTCGTTGGCTGTGTTTC